GGGCTCTGGCTGATGATGTAGCTGCATGGTCTGGTTTCCGCTCTGGCCTCTAAGCGCTTCCTGGTGCAGATGCACAGCCTGCGGACATTTCGGGGAGAAACTTCTGACACCTGCTACCTGTGTGGGGGACATGATGACACCAAACTCAACCTGCAAAATCTACGACTGGGCTTTTTTGGAACCTCTTTTGGTTTGTGGCTGCAAAGGCTTCAAATGGTGAGTGACTTTTCAAGGTGTTAAACATGATTCTGTGGCGAATCACTTATCATCTACAAAGAAATTCTGCACCTTCCTGAAAGATAACATTTACAGGAAGTACAGCTACTAATTGTTACTGCTTATCGCATTGAACCAGACCATCAAGTTCTGTAGATAAAGCCAAATAAGCTTCTTTATATCCGAGCTTTCTACCCTAATCTCCCTGTCATGCTTATTCTCGTATTTTTATCTGTTTTATTCGAGTTACTAGTGGTGTTTTCATGTCATTTTAATGCTGTGGTGCTTTCTCTTCCATACTCAAACCCATACTTATTTCTATCCCCCCCCCGGTCATTTTCAGTGTTAAGACTGTCAGCTGTCAAAGATGGGGGCTATGTCTTCTACTACCTAAAAATAACTCTCAAGTGCTATAAACAAGTAAATAACAATCCTAGTGAATACTAGCCTCACCAAAAATACAAACACAGCCAATAACGTAGCTCAATCCCATGCTTTTGTGCCTCCTATTCCAAAACATTCCGAAATACAGTTTTGCAAGACTTCTGCAGCAGCATGATTGACCTTTTTTGGTGTAAAAGACCTAGTTGTCTGACATATGCAGCATTCTCGACCCAGCACTTCATAAAATTCTTAGTGCTCCTCAAATACTAACTTCTGCAGTAAATACAATCTGCTAATACCTGTGTTAAATGCTTTCTAAAGGAGACATTTTTTTAGTGCTCAAAACTACTAAGCATACATGATGTTCCACAAGCTGCTCAAGGTTATTTCTGCTACATTCATCCTTCAGTTTTTTCTTTCATTTTATTGTCTAAACCGTGGATATTTTGCGTATTATTTTTACTCATCTGACTAGTTTCACATTATGCAACAGAAGTGTTCATAACTTAAGGATAAGCGAATGCATTTGTCTTTCCAGTCTAACGATTTCACTTTGGGAACTGTAGGAACGTCTCAATATCATCCTGAAATTATATCACCTCAAAAAGTAATAGGTGCTGTGACTATTAAGAAAGAAATGTATTTTGGTTCAGCTGAACACAGGACTAATGAAAAATAAACTTCAGGAATAGTAAGCAAAAAATTGAAACATTACAAGTAAGCTGTGCTTTTTGCTCCATGAGAGGCACCTGCCTATGAGTAAGTGGAGGGTTACTAGCTTTAAAACATATAAAGGAACACAATGCACTGTAACATTAATTCTGCTCCTTTTCTAATAAACAAATGGATTGGCCCAGTTCAGTGGGGCTTTAAGAAACTAACACTTTTCTGATATATGTAGACTTTACTAGAGTTTCCAAAGCACCCCAAAATATCAGAAGTTAATCTTGTTTGGCGTGCAAGTGCCTCAAGGTCTGACTGAAGATTTTGAACTCACTAATGGTTCTTCTGTTGACTGGGGAGGGAGATAGAGATGGACTGGCAAGTCAGCCAAGAGCAGGGTAAATTAAGGCCACCCCAGTCTGCTCAATCTCACAGCGAGATTGCTACTTAGCGTGGGAGCTGTTCGGTGGCAGCCGAGCTCGGGCATCTCTACAGGACGCTGCTGTGACCACCGTGCAGGTGTTTCCTGCATGCATCCTCTACCTCTGAATTTCTGACAGGCAGTGATTTATCCTTACATAACTTGAATGCAACTCTGTGGAAAAGTTAGAGGTAGCATGTTAGTGGGTGATAAAAGGTAATCAGAGATTATTTGTGGTAGCAGTGAGGAGGGGGTGGCATCACAGAATCCAACTGTAACTTTTTGAGTCAATCCCATGAGACTCCTAAGGTGGCAGGGGCCATTTTTTTTTTCCAGAGAGAACAATTTCTTTTGGAAAATGCGGTGCTATCCACTTAGAATGTTCGTATTTTCTCCCTACCTCATGGCAATATTTTAAAGTAATTTTCCAGTGATTCAGTTTGGATGGTATTTTTGCCTTTTCCTTTAACAAATTCCTATCTTTATTTTATAAAACATTTCATGAAACCAAATGAGCAGATGAAAAAAATAAATATATAGCCCTTGCAGTGCCTTATAGGATACATTTTTTTCCTGCAAAAATAAACATTTCCCTTCCGAACAGCTGTCCTCAGCACCCCAACAGCCTCTAGTGATGTCCATGGGAGTTACCTGTGCAGAGGAATTTGCAAACTTACCTTCACAGAGGCACAAGGAGAGCCAGCAGCTGAGCATGGGTTGGACAAGCATCCCTCCTGCGCTCAGCCTATACGCTGCGTTCTGCTCTGGTAAAAGGACGAACAAGATCCCCCAAGATCAGCCCGAACACTCGGTGCAAATGCTCAGCTAGGTGTTGGTAGTTCAGCAGCAGCCCTCCCTCACTGAAGCATTAAGCTCAGGTGGTGGCAGCCCGCTAAATCGTACGTCCTCCGTAGCAGCAGCAGCCTGCTTACTCTTCAGTCTGGAGGTGTCTTAGCCAAACTGATCTGGGAAAGTAATAGTCTAGTGTTTTGCTTATACACATCTGCTGTTATAATTAGTATAGTAGTACAGTAGTTGTGGAGCATCACATGACTCACAACTGCAGATGTCACAGGTTCTCAGGGGTTTTTGTCATCCTGGAGAATGGCCTGCAACTGTCAAAAGCATCTTCTGTATTAGTGGGTGAGTAAATGTAAAAAGAGTACCCGCAAATGCTCTGTGGTTATAAGCCACAGTCAGTTATTTTTCACCTCAGTAACAGGCAGGTCTGAACGGCAAGAGAGAGCGAGCCACTTCTTCAGAGAACAAATGCTGAATAACCTGTTCTTAGAATAATAGCTGTGCAGACATTCACATTCCACTGTCGCCTTGTGTGCAAAATCTGCTCTATATGAAAGAGGCATCGAACCTCCCTGCCGTCCTAACCCCACACCCCACTCTCACTGTCTGCCCCTCTGGGTTCAGGTCTCCCAAAAACCTCTTAAAGTTTCTACAGCTTGTGCTGTCTGGACCCATTACCTCTTCACTCTCCTTTTTTCCCTCTTCTGGGAATCTACAGTTCCCTAACTTCCCTGAAGCCACTGTGCTTTAAGCCTTATTTGCACATATCTTCTGGATTCTTCTTCATGCTTTTGCTGTTTCTTCTCAGGTGTCCCCCCAGGCATGCTGGCCTGTCCAGCTCTCCCAGTCCATGCTTAAACGAGCACTTGCCGCAGACAAAGGGTAAAATCATCTGCAAGTCAATTTGTATTTATGAAGTATAAAGTTTCTATGGCTATTTACTGCCTGTAAACATAAACACCTGGAGACAATTTTCAGCAACCAATTACTGCTCATAATCCTTGACAGTCAAAGTAATTGGAGGCTGCAATGAAAGCATAAAGCGTACCCCTCCAATCTCATGGTTTTCTATTTAAGCTTTTCTCCTCTGGTACAGATGCCTGTTTTGGATTAAGCCGTCACCAAATTCCTTCTCAGCCTTGCGCAGAGCTTGCACATTGACTTGGAAGAGAGCCATGTTCCTCTGGATATTTGAGCAAGCAACACAGCCAAGACCTGTTGTAAGTAAACCAGTTACTTGTGCGTAACACACCAGATGAAATGCCTGTACAGCTTCCGACACACCTTCATCCCCAAAGCCAGCAAGTCAGAATCATCAGGCTTTATGCTTTCCTGGATGAGGCAAATCACTGGCCAGGTCTTCCAAAGAGGTCAGGTTTGGAGTACTTGAAATGCTGAAATACAAAGGCAGCAAGAGCCTTCTGCCTTTATGTTAGGTCCCTCCCAAGTCCCAAAAGGTGCTGATGTTAGAGAACCACAGCGAGATCTGGTGGGAGCCAAGTTCTTCTCAGGCCATTTCGCATTTCTTTTTTCCATCACAAAGCGGTACGGCGGTCACCGACCCCTCGCACCGAGAGGATGCACCCGGGGGGTCTGGCCCCTCCCCGCGCGCCCCCGCTGCCGGGGCCGGGGCCGG